AACTCTCCTCCTTGACTTGGACCAGGCAAAGGCGGAGGTTTGACGGGGATTCGAACCCGCGACCCTCAGATTACGAGTCGAGCGCCCTAACCACCTGGCCTAGACATGGAAGACTATCACTGTTTAATATGTAAACGAACTGTACAAAGTATTTCTCTGAAAAAGAAAAAAAATACTTGCCGAATGCTTTTTCATTCTTAAAAAATCAAAATATTGGTGGTGCTGCGTTTTATCTTTCTGAAATTATACTTTTTCCTTCTAATTTCATGTTTCAAGTTATATCTTACAAAATATCGATATATCTGTAACTGTATTTTTTTAGATAATTCGTTATAAATTATCTGGTAATATACATGTGCTGCTAGCGGATGCTATTGATGTTTATACATCATTCTTTACAACTTCCACTTTTAATATATAATCACATGTGCATGTATTGATTTTTTTAGCTCATACCTGTACCGTACTTACCGTAGGGGGAGCGAGCCCCATATTTTAGTGTTATAAACCTTTGGGTTTACTACTGCGTCGTCGGGGAGGGAGTAATAGATAGATTATAATCTATGCAAATCAAAACAGTATTCCTTAGTCAGTGGGTTTATAACGTTAAAAATAGGATTTTGATACCCGGGGTGGGCAGAGCACAGATAGCTCAGTGTGTAGTTTTGTGTTTTAAAACAAAAAAAAATGTATTCCTTAATTTTTACAATTAGATGTTTTTAAGTGACATAACTTACCTGTGAAAACAACAAGAAACTATCCTTCCCTAGTGTAGAAAACTAAACTGAAACTGTAAGAGGAAAATAGTCTATTTCTCATCGCTAGGGGCCTGGCGCGGCCAACGAGAGTAAGCATGCATGGACTGTGTTCGTTGTTAAGCAAATGTACTATCTGTGTTGTAACAACCACGGGTATATATATATGAAGGGGGGGGGGGGCACATAGACTGTGAATACGAAGATTCAGGTTTGCGGCTCGTTGCCGCACTTTGGGGCCGTGGTTGGGCTATGACACACGATCAAATCCCACTATTCGGTCAGACATGGGAACCCCAGGAGTTGACGGTGGTGCTGTTGCTTATTAATTTAAAATTATGGACAGCTATACGCAGATTGGCCCCTGTATAGCCTCGCGCGAAAATTCTGAAACAAACAAACTCACTGCATCTATACATTACCTTTTTGATATATCATTTTGACATTAAAGGAAGTCATTGACAATATGTTTGATAAAATGTAAACAATTAATTATTGGTACACTTATACGTGATTAAAATTATCGAATACAGCTCTGACAGCCAATGATTTTTTAGCGTAGAGATTAAAATTAATTATAGTGCAAATTATAGCAAAAATTCAAAAACATGAGTATATTTTGTTGTTACAGTTTGAATTGAGTTTATGTCAAACGATGATGACTTCATATACACTTCTATGAAAGCAAAACAAAACAATAAAACTTGTAGACTTTATGAAAATAAAATCTTTTGTCTTTGAAGTTTGAGATGCAATTTTAGAAAATTACTTCTTTCATTTTAGTCACATATAATCAAATAATTTTTCAAGTGCTTCGACATAAGCCCCCCAGTGGCATGTCTGGGGACTTATACTGCTAGAAACCGGGTTTCGATACTCGTGGTGGGCAGAGCACAGATAGCCCTTTGTGTAGCTTTGTGCTTAATAACAAACAACAACAAAAAACACCAGCTTCGACATAAAGTTATTTAACCCTAGAATCATCAATGGGATACATACGGAGCAAACTGCTTATTTTTAACCACATTTTTCTAAACTATTTACTCCCCATATTGTTTGTGCATGAGTTCATTATTTTATTGGTTACAGTAACCATAATAACATGAACAAAACTACCGTCAATTGCTTGGTCAGGTCTTTACAATGAATGTTTGTTACATGCAAAAAACAACAACGTATTATGGTAAATATCATGGCTTCTTCACATTTCAGACTTAGGGGCGTGATTGACTCTGAATTTCGAAGTTGGCGATTCGAGGATATCATTAAATAACCTCCCATTTTAAACTTTGGGTGCGTTATAAAAGTGAAATTCAATCCTTAAGTGTTGATGATGGGTGGTAGAGTGAATCTGGTTGGTTGCTTTTCCGTCAGTCGTTCGAAATTAGAATAAAATTTTCATTTTAAGTAAATAAAGACATTTATTCGTAGTGGATCCTTGTAACTCAGTTTTTTGTGAACGAATGGATATAACAACAACAAAGCCATTATCTACCAAGGGTTTTCATTGTTTCTTTTTTTTCTTCTTCTTTTACCGAGTCGATTTTGGAAGTTAAACACGGAAACATATACATTGTACAGCTATTCGTATGGTAGAGATTTCTTCAAAACGGTCATAAAACTGTAGAACATGGTCGCGAACAAATAACGAAAGTTGGAAATGTTAACAGGTTTTATACCTGCTATCACAAAAGTTAATCCTTGTAAAATAAAATGGTAAGTATAGGTTATTATAAAAGCTAGAGAAAAAAATACAACTTGTTAAAAAAATCTAATAGTATAATTTGTTTTTTAACGTTAAGCCTCGGCATGTCTCTTTTGTCCGTTTCTCACTTGCGGTTAGAGTATATTGAATATGTAACAAATGCAGTTCGCCTTCGATCATTAATAAATGTACGTCAAAATATGTTAATTTATATATATATATGTGTGTGTGTGCGTGTGTAGTTTTTAAAATGAAATAAAATCAGTATTAAAACACGTAAATACAGAATGCCGTGTTTCCTTCCAAGTTATCAATTAACAATATATTATGTATATTCAGGATTATTTGTTTGGTAATACATTCTGAAGCGAATGAAAGATTTCCAGTGTCAAGAAACTGATAATTAATAAAAACAGACTTAATAGTGACATTTAAAACTTCACTTTATTCCTAGAAATTTAATACATCCGTTCAGCGTATTTCAAACATAGAATGCAATGGTCAAAAGTTTCCAGAAACTTACAAAACTGGAGAAAAGCTATTTACAGTGAAACACTTGTTTAAGCTACATATTTACAAACATACAAACACCGGTCTGTTCCACTTCCACCAGTAATAAGCCCTAGAAAACTAATATCCTTGTTTTTTTACTGTATTTACCGATAAGTTATCTGATAAATGGGGCTGCAGAGAAGAAGAAAAGTGATGGTCACCATTCAAATAGTTTTAACAAACTAAACTTTGCTGACGACAAAAGATGACATTAATGAGATCTATGGTTGTTCCAAGCGTCCTTGCATACAGTAGAATAATGATCTGGCAAAGTACATCAGCCCTCTAAACCTCTATTTTTCTTTCTAAAAGACAAGAACCTATAAAAACTTCTATATATACACTATGTATATTTATATACTCAAAAAGAAGGTTCCCAGCATTATGATATTACACTAACTATATACGTGCAATAGAGCTTTTTTAAAACTTTGTCATCTAAAATTCTTATAATTTCTGAACTTCCACCCATGTTTCTGATAAACTGCTTTGCATTTAGGCTTATTAATTAACAACTATGGGTTATACTGACCTGGTTAACAAGTTGTGGCGGATGTTTTAGTCTCAAAATTTAACGAACAACAATTTCGTCAAAATTGGTTGATTACTTACAAAATCACTCTAACCACAGATAATCAAATGTAAAAATAATCTGACAAAATATGATTTGTGGCTTACAGCACTGAAGTTTAACTATTTCAAATAAAAAGTTAAAATAAATTTGTCGAACTTTTTTGTGACAATAGTTTAATTGTAATTAAACGCCAAAGTAGGTTATGAAAAGAACTGAACATAATATCGGTTATCCCATAATTAACCAAATCACAGAATTAAGTTTGAAGCCATGTCGGTTTGTTTTTTCTATATATACGAATAAAAGAGCTTATCGTTAAGACTTTAGTTAAACCCTTTAACAAGATTACCCTTTCACAGTAAGTTTCCTTTATTTAAAGAAAAAAAGGATGAGAGTATATTCATAATGTCAATTCTTCAACCAGCTGTTGTCCGACTATTGCATTAACTTGTTAACCCAGACGCTGGCTGGAAGATTCTGGCAACCATAGTAATTTTGATGGAGCTCCCTGTTGGTAAAAGGAGATACGACGTCACAAGGTGCTCCGAACAAAGTCTTACGATTGCTTCCAGAAGAGCCACTGAACATCATTGGGTTGGACTGTCTAACAGCTCGCTGGCTTGCCTAATTAAAATATAAAAGTTTACAGGGCTGAATATAAATAATATTATACCAAACAGTAGAATCTAATAACACAATAATTCATAACAATATATATTGAGAACGATATTTCTTTTCAAAAGAAGGATTTTGGACCAGATGTAAAGATGATCACAGAAAAAGTTGAATACTAAAACACTCGACACATTGACCTATTTTCCCTCTTCTCCCCATGAAGTCAAGTCCACTTATTTGAAGCGTCAGAGCTTTGAAGATTCAGCTTTTTTTTTGTCCTATCTATTGATGTACATAGTGTTAGCATAAACAGTTGATAATCCAAATAGGTAGATAACGTACAATATTATTTTAAAATGTAAGAAATCCGTTGTATTTTAATTATGTCACTAGGATACATCCGATTTACAGAAACAAAATTGTTAAATTTACAAAAATATATATTTATTTTAAATTTTTCACTGTTAAAGGTATGCTGGTATAGAGGAAACATGGACATACTTTTAACTTACCATTAAGTTGCGCATTATTTCGCTAATTGAATGTAGAACAACAATAAAAGTAATAAACGTTAGACGAATATCATATTAAAAGTAATTCTGATGACAAAACGAGAAATATGCTTTATCCTTCTCTCGAGGTATGAAAGCTACGTCACTGGGAATTATTAAGCCCCTTTAGTACACAAGCATCTCAGCCACTTGGTTAAATCTGCCCTTGGCATTACGAGAAAGAACCTACTGATCTCATCTTCATGGGGGAAAAAGAGGTTTGAATCCTCCAATGTGCGTAACTTTTAGCACTTATAGTATATGAGGAAAGCTTTTTAAACCTTTCTTTTCGTATTATGTATGCGTGTATGGAGGATCACAATTATTAATATTAATAATCTGGAACAGAGAAGTGAAGGAGATAGAAAACAGAATTCTGATGCTGCCTTTTCATCAGTTCCCATGTACTTAGTTACCAAAAGATTAAACAGAACAAAGGATTCGACAAACTATCGTCGGCGTTTCATGTTTGAAGGATTAAATCAAAGACTGCTCAATATGGTGGCTGTCGGCAAAAGAGTGCAGTACCAGCTGAAAGCCGTTTGTCGGAAATAAAAGCTTTAACCTCGTACAACTGACTGGCGGTATCGTTTGAACTTCAATTTAATAGCAGCTGTTCGAGAACGTTATATATCTATATGTTTTGGAACAAAGAAAGAGCCAGCACTTCCGTTGCGAAACGGATTTATTCTGCTGTTCCCTAATCCTATTTGTAGCGGCATCTTCTGACGATGTAGGCCACTGTCTACAGGTGTCTGGCCTTAAGCCTTATCTGGAAATAGTTTTCTTTAAACCGCTCTCGTCCTTCCGATATTGAAAGATAGCTTGGTTTATTAAATATTACTCTTATACAAAATTTCAAAAAGTTCAGATCATTTTACAACTTTTAGTATCGCTTCTAATCTCACCTCATACACTTGATCTACACATGCGTGTTGGTGACGGAAGCTAACCCAGTGTCTAGTTAGTTCTCCTTGCCATGAATACTCGCGCTCTCTGCCGCTGGTGAAGATGTGGACATTACTGTGCCTCGTAGAGCGATTAAAAGACTTTACAAGTTGACCTGAAAAGCATTGATCTGCAATGATAAACACCTGGCGAGCTGAACAGTCCTGTAAGTCTGCCATCATTTCTTCCACTGTGTACGCCTCGTCTTCGTCCGCCTAAAAATAAGCATATAATAGAATTACTACAGACATACAATAAGAAATCCAGCGCTACTACGTGTTTTTCCAATATGTTGTCCATCTCGGAATATGTAAGGGAATTCAACGTTGATCAACATTGGATTTAGTGTTGGTTAATCCAAAACTTTAAATTTTACATTACAATTTTATGGAGGTCATCGTTACTTTTGGACCTTAACTAAGCACAAGCTAACGTTTACTGCGAACAAAATGTAGTTTGTTTGTTTGTCTTTTAATTCTTGCAAAACCATTCAAAGACTGTTTGCATTACCCATCCCTAATTTGAAGTGATAAACTAGAGAGAAGGCAGTTAGTCAACAACACCCATCACCAACTCTTGGGTTACTCTTTACAAACGAATAGTGGGACTGACTGTCACATTATAACGCCCACACGATCTACAGATTGCTAGAGGAGTGCCCTAATCACCAGGTCATGCCTGGCCTGCAACGTAGACAAAGACACATGTGATTAATAGAAACGATCATATTTCCAAAAACGAATAGAAGGTAAATAAGCAGAACCACAGAAAAGCAAATAAAAAGGAGTTTAGAATAACTGATATAAATATAAATTGATATACACAGAGAGGTACGTGAAAATACAGCCAAAACTCGTAATCATATATGCAGGTAGATTAATAGGGCACAAATATGTATGTTGAAAGGATCCGTATTACAATTGGGGAAACAGAAGAGCTTACAGCATAAGATAAAAAAATATAATTTAATTTGTGTTGACAATTTATAAATTAACATCCTAATAGTCAGGAATACTGACTTAATTTATACAGAAACAAACGTATAGAAGAATAGATGGGTGAAAAGAGAGACGAAGGACAGGCGATTATTAGCTAGATAAGCAAACAGATAAATTGGAAGCATGCACAGATACACACGTGCAATAAATAAATAAACAGAAAAGACAGGCACCACCTGTACAATTTACCTGTCCATTTCCATCAATGTCCCACAGTAAACTACTTCCACCATTTTCTGTGGGACTGTTTAGATACAGCACCAAGGAATCGACGCAGTTAGGAGATTCACACATCTTCTTCAGGTGATACCGCAGTGCCAGTTTAAAAACGGAGGGATAAAGTGGGTGGTTCTCTCCACCTAAAACTACACAAAAAATAATAAATAAACTTACAAAATCTAATCGTAACCAACAAAAGTAACTGATATAAAAATTATACTGATGTTGTTCTTGTTGTCTTATTAACTGAATGTTAAATATATTCCAGTTCATTACTTCAACGTCTTTCTCGTAGCACGAATGAGTTAAATATATATATCTATAACCGGCAGGATTAAGAAATAAGTCTAGTTCTTGTAACACTTTAGTTATCGATTCTTGATAGACTTTTATCCACCTTCTTTTCAACCCACAGGCAACAGTAGCTGCGAATAATAAAGTTGTAAGTGATAATCATGATAAAAGAGCGTGACGTCGCAAAATTTATCCGAGGGTGCATTTTTGGCTGCTTTTGTGTCTTTATTAGGGCGTTTTAGAAAGAGTGATATCTCGGAATTGTTGGACCAAATCAACGGTGCGAAGCCGAAACCGCATTATGGCATTAAAACACAGAGGCAGAATGGAGAAAAAAAAATACTCGATAAGGAAATAGGGACATTCCAGGTTGAAAAAAGAAAAATAATAAACTCAAATTGTTGCTTGTGACCGTGAAGTAAAGTCATTGTTGTTGCGAAGCAAAAGCATTCTTGCATGGACACCTCGGCGCCAGACTTACGTTTCACGGCGTTGCACTGTTATGGAATTGAAGCAGAGAATGCGGTAGCCACGATATTAAAGATTATTATCATTGATTGCCATGCGATTTATTCGATGAATTATGTAATCACGGCAAACCCACGTTATCAGAAAACATCCTTTCTATGTGCTGTTCACTTAATGCGCTTTTAATAGTGCGAGTTTCAACAAGCTATGCATTTAAAAAACCCATTTTGCTTTTCTTCTGCAAAAGCAACTGTGTGTAGCTTAGAACAAAAATGAAGATAAAAAAAGGTATTCAAGAACATACAACAATGTTACGATTATATGTAAGAAAAATAAAACAACGAAAAAGTTGTTGTGCCAAATGATTAATTTTCGATTTAATCACCAGATAATAACATGTCGTGGACAAAAACATTTAGCAGAATATTTGTTATATACATTTCAAAATAATTAATTTATTTAATTGACTCTCATTTTTTTAATAAAGTTAGAGAAACAACGACCCTTAAGCTCCAGTTAATTATAAGAGAACTTTTGTTTTAACAGACGTTTCGCCTTTGCGGCTTTTTCAGGGCTAGTACATAAAAGGTGAAACGTCTGTTAAAAATAAATGTTCTCTTATAATCAGTTTTTTTTTGTTTTGTTTTGTTTTCTATGGCTGAATGCGCCGGAACGGCGTAGTGGTACCTTTTAATGAATGTGAAGCAAAAATAAACAAGACATTACACAAAATCGCTTCTTCTGATAAGATCGAGTGGTTTTATTTATGTAATTTACTATTACGCTGCCTACAACTATCTGGAGCATAAAGGTTGTTTTTTTCTAACTTTGTTATCAAAATCTGTAAATCCCTTCGATATGCACTACAATTTTGAAAGACAACAAAAAATTAATTCACTCTTGTCCCAACTACTTCAATATTCTTCACTTTGAAATATTGATCACATTTGTTGCTAAAAATAAAGATTACATTTAAAATAAAAACGATAATGGTAAGGCAAGCGGTTTTATGTTTTTATTTTTAATTTAATACATAAGAACAATATGCACATGTTCAGTGAGTTTGAAGTAAGCAGCAAAACGTCTATGTCTTGAGGATGCAATTGTTGATGGTAGAGACTACTTTTTAATCAGGAAAAATACGTGTTATACACAAATGTTCTTGGAACTGATTTCTTTAATTGCTATTCCGTTTATTGGTTCTTTATTTTAATAGAGCTGACAGATAATTCAGTCATTTTTTATAATTACAGTGCAATATATTTTTATATTTTTTTAGATAACCTTATTTGTTAACATAAAAATACCTTCAAAGTTCTCTGCTCCGTTGGCAAAGAAGATCTTAATGTTTCTTTTCCGGAAACCAACGTTTTTCAACATCTGATACATTGACCTTAGGTTGTTCAGAGATTCTGGAGTGCTGGTCAGTCGATTCCAACCTCCCGCCAGTAACACGGCTTGGTCGCATATTTCAAAGATTCGGCAACGTGTGTGTACGGTTTCGTGCGTCGTGCTACACCGCTGTGTGTTAACGTGCAGAGGATTACAGAGAAGCTGACTGGTCTCATTTACTGGACGAAAGGAAGGGCAAGGCGCAAAACCTATAAAAAATAGTCAGATAAAAGCTAGAGATACTGATTACGATCCATGGAGTTATTATTAAGAGTAACAATCATATTTTAAAAACATCAGATTAACGATCTCTTTTTACAACATTTGCAAAATAACAATCATATTTCGAAATCATCAGGATAACGATCCCTTTTTATAGAAGGACACTTTTAACGACACTTGTAGAGTAACAATCATATTTCGAAATCATCAGGATAACGATCCCTTTTTATAGGACACTTTTTACGACACTTATAGTGTAACAATTATTTTAAAACATCAGGATAACGACACTTTTTTTTTCAAGAAGAACACTTTTATGATACTTAGAGAGTAACAATCATAACATCAGGATAACGATCCCTTTTTTCCAGACGAACACTTTTTAAGGCACTTGTGTAAGTTTCATGTTCAAGTTTAAATTAATATGCGTTTCTTTTTATGAATATGAGCTAATTTTGTAATGTGTATATATTTCTATGACAAATGTGTGAGCAAAAAAAAGGGTGGGTAACAAAAATACAAAATTTATTATAATTACATATTAACAGTACGTTAGTGGCACAACTTCTTTAATATATTTATATATTTTGCTTATCCACTTTCGCAGTTTTATGCGATTACTACTCAATTGCATATTTTTCAAATGATATATACATATGTTACAAATTAAAAGTAATTTATAACCCTAATATGCATTTTCAAAACTAACCGGAAATTAAATAATATAAACATGAAAATGAAATTAAACGTTTAGATAATCGTAAGCTAAAAAAGGAGTGAATTAATGGTTTTTACTCCAATAGCTAAGTGAGTGTTTTTGTATTTAATTTAAGAAACAGTAATACAATATGCACCTCTATAGAACAATTTCTTTCACTATCTGAATGATGTAGAACCCCCCCCCCCAGTGGCATAGCGGTATGCCTGCGGACTTACAACGCTAGAAACCGGGTTTCGATACTCGTGGTGGGCAGAGTACACATATCCCTTTGTGTAGCTTTGTGCTTAAATACAAACAAACATGTATAAACTGAATCCTCAGTTACTTCCACATAAGCTGTGACGCACCCCAACATCACAGTTCATGAGATTCGTGAAGAAATTAGGAAACAAATATCATACTAAATTTAGACTAATATTTACCTGGAATAAGCTGTGACGCACCCCCACATCACAGTTCACGAGATTCGTGAAGAGATTAGGAAACAAATATCATACTAAATTTAGACTAATATTTACCTGGAATAAGCTGTGACGAACCCCCACATCACAGTTCATGAGATTCGTGAAGAGATTAGGAAACAAATATCATACTAAATGTAGACTAATATTTACCTGGAATGTTGTCGCGACATCTGAGCAACTGATCTTCTTGACCACGAGGAGACTGGTTAGCTAGGTGGACCAATGGAAGAAAGTTAATTTCACATCGACGGGCCAGGTTCCTCCGGCGTGATCTCCGCCCCAAAAGATTGTGACAACGATTCTTAAGAGCCAACGATAAACAATCACCGTGTCCTATAAAATAATAATAGTAATAAGCCAACGATAAACAATCACCGTGTCCTATAAAATAATAATAGTAATAAGCCAACGATAAACAATCACCGTGTCCTATAAAATAATGATAGTAATAAGCCAACGATAAACAATCACCGTGTCCTATGAAATAATAATAGTAATAAGCCAACGATAAACAATCACCGTGTCCTATGAAATAATAATAGCAATATACATATTTCCGTACAACGTTCTAATCTACAAACGGTTAAAGGGAGATTTTCAGTAGACTCCTAAGAACATTAGATATTCTAATCTGACCTATAACAAACGTTTGTTCGAGTCAACTAAAGTAGACGTTATTGTTTAAATCATTATATATATAAATAACAAAATTAACTGTTCGATTCCTGTTATATTTTACAAAACAGTTTCAGAAACTGTGTTTTGACTGACACGATTACGAGGGTATTTGAAACTTTTTTATGGTTTATTGGCACGTAAACATCAGTTATCACTGGCACATATTTTATTAAAGTTTCACAGCTCTACGCAAAGTTTCAATATCAATAACGTAATCTTACTAAATAAAAAAACATAACTCAAACAATTTGCATATTTTCCAGTCTCATCAGGGGACTTGTGTAAAGTAGTTCAAACAATTCAGTTTTCAGAGATCTGATAAAATGATGATGATCATTACTGAGAAGAATGTTAGAGACATTTTCTAGTCTCTAAATAATTACTTAAAATTTGCATATAGTATATTTTGTTCTTTGTTCAACCTAGTAGCAAAAGTATAAATAGCCCGAAAAGAAAGTTCAGCTTCTAATTGAAACATTGTTACAAGCACGCAGATTTGTACAGGGAATTAAAATTACGCCCTCGGCGTCTTTGATCTACAGACTATACTTCTTCCGAAAATTGCATCGTGTATAGCTAGGAATAAGTTTTTGTGCTATTTAAATTAGCATTTGCACACTTCATAAATAACGGTTAGATGAAAGCGAGAGATAATTATCTCAAAATCTCTGAAGCTAGCTCATTTACAATTAAAACTTTAGCGTCTTCATGACGTGAAAATGTTCTGAATGGATCATATGATAAAGAAAAGCGACAAAACTTTTGAACATCATCCCAGTTATTATCATATCAAGCTTTTGGCAGTTGTGTTGAATTATATAATTGGAGCTCTAATACAACGGCAAATAAATAGATAATAATAGTATATTATTATATAATATTTACCTCGTTATTTAGAACTACAAGCATCTTAATAAAGTGCAAAACCAAAAATTATTATATTAAGAAAATAATCGGCCTCTTCCTATTCCTCATTGTTTAGTAATTATGTTATTTTGGCAAGATTTTTTTAAGACAAGAAGATGCAGCCCAAAGGTCCACTCTAGAACCTGTTGAAAAGAATAAAAATTAGGGAAGTTGTTAAGTGTTGAATAATATACCAACGAATTACTCCACTTGTCTTACCACCAGCAAAAGTGTTCGGCTGTTTTCAGCTTCACACTGAGCGTGGATATTTTGTATAGCATAGAACTGCGTGAGTAATTGCGTTATCAAAAGTGTTTCACGATGTGAACAACAAGAAATAGCCAGTCTCGCAGTAAAAACCTAGTTACGTATTTACTGTAATCTTGAAATTGTAATGATATGTTTCTTTGGTGAGAGAGTTCTCCTTCCTCTGAGTTTTTATTTACTATTAATATTGGTCTTTCCGTATATGATATTTTTTGAAATTCAGCAGTTTTGGCAACTTTTTGCTATGCCTACAAGTGGAGGAAGGTAGCGTCCCTAATTTAGCAGTTAAAGACTAGAGAGACGACAACTGGTCATCACTAACAACCGCCAACTCTTGGGCCACTCTTTTACCAACGACTAATGGGATTGAACGTAACTTTATAACGCCCCCGCAGCTGAAAGGGCGAGCATGTTTCGTGGGACGGGGATCAGAACCCGCGACCCTCAGAATGCGAGTCAAGCGCCCTTACCACCTGGCCATGCCGGGCCCAGTCATGAAGACTCACTGGAAAAGTGGAACCAATTTACTCAAAAACGAAACATTTTTTTGTGATGTATAAACCTGGTTTTAGAGGCATACATTGGGAAAATACATGCTGACCTAAAGAGACAAAGGTATGTGTTTATTGGAGAAGATGAGTTTGTTCGTTTTTTGTTTTTTAGTACAAAGCTACACAATGGATTCTCTGCGCTGCATCTACCGCAGGGGTGGAACCTCGAATTCTAGCGTTATAAGTCATCAAGCTTACCGCTGAGTCATCAGAGAACAGGGGAAATGGGAATATGTGCTATTTATTTAAGAAATTTGAAATGGATATGCTATTGCTGTGAGAGGGGTGGAAATACAATATATATATATACTTTTATTGAGAGTTGGGTGGATATACAAATATGCTGTTTATTGGAGGATAGTATTCTAAGTACTTTTGATTTTATCTGGGGTTTTTGCTGAGTTTACAATCTTATGATTGAGTATTACGATACTTATTTATAAACAAAATATTTCTAGCTGCAAATAACTGGCTGGTTTATTGTTGCAATTAAAATATTAATAATTTCTACTTACCGATATAATGTCCTCCGTTTAATTCACACAGCGTTTCTGACCATAATTTGTCCAGAAAAAATACTACTATGAGATGTCCGAAGCTGGCGCGAGGGTAGGGGTCAAGCACAAGGACCGCATCGTGAGCCCCGGAACGACTGAGAGCTCCATCGGGAAGGACAGCCGCCAATCGTCCCCCGTCTGAGGGGTCAGCAACGTATATGTTCATCTGGTTCTGAGTTACCTGTACTAATTCCCGGCACTCTCGTTCAGTCGTCAAGAAAACGTCTCTACAGTTGAGACTGTGGACAAAGTTGAACGCTGCTTCAGCCCAGCGAGATAAACGAGTAGTGGGATCTTCAAGATGACCATTATTCATCATAGACAGAGGTGCTATAGTGACCATTAGTATGGCGGGCATGAAGGTCATCATCATTAGTAGTATTATGCATCTAGAAAAAGTCGCCATTGTTTCGGCTAAAAGTTCTGATAAGTAACCTAAACAATTCTTCAAGTTGTTTCTTTAATAAACGAAATGTCTCTGAAAGGACTTAAAATAATACAGAACTAAGTGTTCAGTTCTTCTTCGTCTGATGGTCAACAACAGTAATACCTGCGTAGGTGTTCAGTTCATTCACTGACAGCGTTGGGGCAAATCGACTTCTAAGCTCCAGCTGTCACAGAACACGTGCCACGAGAAAACCTTCTCATGATGATGGCGCCACCAAACGTCTTTTTATACCAAATCCTTGGCTAGAATAAACAGAAATGCCGACATCTCCATCACTTGATTGTGGCGGCAAACATCAAAGTGGCCGACTGCCTCGAGGGTGCTCGCTCACGCTGCATGCGACCCTCATGCTGGACCGGAATTTTCAAGACCCTTGTTTACAAAGCCCGTTTGACGTGGTCACTTCGCCGATTACAGAGAAAAGGTCACCGTTATCCATTAGCCGCGTCAAAAATTAAAGGATTTTAATTCCACTATTCTGTACGGTCTGTCATATGTCACAAAAGTGGAGGCAACTCGGATTTGATTAGAAATTTTCTGAAATAGTCCTCTACTTTTCTTCCAAGTAAAAGGTATGCTTCAAGCAAGGCAGGTTGTTTCTGAATGTAAAAAAACTGATGAAAGGGTTGGATTTTTTTATTAAAACATATAGCTTCTAATAAACGACGTTTATGTAATTCTGAAACATTTTCTTTGCGATATATTTTTTGGGAGTAAATAGAAAATATTCATCATGTTGTAAAAAAAGTATTATTTTACTCACATCGTCGTCGTATCAATAACGATTTCTTTTACTCCGTTATATAAACACAAACACACATGTTTTTGTAGTGCTCAGGAATAAAGATAATGATGTATTGTTTCGTTAAACATTGCAGGGATCGACCCCTGAACCTTAGCGACTAAGGCAGTCAGATAGCTTATTGTGCATAATTTTATTAGTGGACACAAATCAAATATTCAGTGCGATTTGGTTGAAAATATCAGTACGGAGTTGTAATAAAAGAAAATGGATAAAAGAGACTTGAAATCGAAGAATTAACGGCCAGAAGTTCAGTGAAATGGATTTAGATATTCTTTAGAGTCTATAAAGAATATGAAAACCATTTACAAGAAGATCAGTTATGATGACAGTAATAAATCTAATGAAATTGAAGTGTGTTTGAAATTAAGCACATATTAAGCTATTTGTGCTTTGCCCACCGCGGGTATCGAAACCCGGTTTATAGTGTTGTAAGTCCGCAGACATACCGCTGTGCCATTGGGAGGCTAAATGTGAGAAGAGTGCTTTAACTTATTCTAACTGGTGGAACGCCCTATTTGTGTGCGGGAAGCAACAGGCAGGAGCTTAGATATCGAGGCCGTAATTACTTTAAATATAATTAGCCAGCCAGATTGGTTGTAACGTTAAAGCACTTTATCCTACGAATTTCTCAATATTAACCAATCGCCTGGTTAATTAGTTTTTAAAATATATTTAAACATTTTCAGCAACGTATATTTTTCTAATAATCAAAATTGTACATTGAAAGAGCAAAAAATAAACAATAAATAAAAACAAAGACACAAACAGAGAGATCAACATGTGTTCGTACTGCAAGTTTCTAGGATTATAAATAGCATTTTGATATCTCATTATGTTATGTTCTATCGTCCACCAGTGGGTTAGCAGTAAATTACGGACCTATGATGCTAAAAATCAAGGATATAATTCCCCCGGCCCCCCCAGTGGCACAGCGGTATATCTGCGGACTTACAACGCTAGAAACCGGGTTTCGATACCCGTGGTGAACAGAGCACAGATAGTCCATGTGTACCTTTACGCTAAAACAAAACACACACATACGTAATATCGTGTCCATTTCGTCAGCTTTTTCGCTTTTATTATTATTATTCTGTTACTGGTGTCTTTTTTATTCTCTAATTTCAGATATTATGTTTGTCGTTCTAGTATATTATGTTTTATGATTAATTGGTAATTTATTGTTTTACTAGTTTAAATAATTCGGAAAACAAAATTTCCGTTTTCTTCATTGCTTAAGATTTTCTCTATCATTTGAGTACACTTTCAATAACATTTTGGTTCCATGATTTTTTTTCAACAGCGCTGAATATTGTTTGTTTATTGTTAAGTTTAAAATGTGCAATGAACTATCTGCACTGTTCTCTCCGTAGGATTCGAATCCAGAATTTTAATGTAATAAGCCTTTCATCTTACCACTGAGTCAGTGTGGGGGACATTTTTTTATGAACAATTTACTCTACGGATCATACACCTACACCGGTGGTTCAGTGGTGAACTTGAAGGCTTATAACACTATAATTCGGCGTTCGATCCCAGCAGTGGGCACTATGCAGTTAAAAAAGCTAATTATTTGCAATAAAGTTAGTTACTGTTAACATATCTAAAAATAAGAGTATTTTACTATATCACTCCAACATATATGTATTTTCGACTGACAATTCGTAAGTCAGTTCGTAAGAACCAATTCTTTTGTGTGTGTGTGTTAGATTAAACATATATACACGAATAAGAATTTCGTTATTTAACTGCGTTATGTTGATTTTAGTCTAGACCAGCGTTTCTCAAACTGGAGTCTACGAGTCATGTCCGAAATTTCATAAAAATATTTACAAAATATGTTATTTATAGAATAAAAAATATTTTTCGTAAATGAAATTTATAGTAATTAAAACATTTAATTTTGGAATACAGCTTTTCATGTACACGGAATCTTTCCTTCAAAACAACAACAACAAAAAAAAAAACATCGATAGGTTTGAGGTCCGCGAAAAACATTTATCATACGAACTGGTATGCTTCATACAGCTACAAGTCTTGAGCCGAATGATGTATCATATTATGGACACATACACTGGTGAGAAATTGAACGCGAGAAAAGTTACATTTGTAATTATTTGCGACATATAAAAAGATATTTCAAACAAATTGTAATTTACTGTCCATCAATTTCTTACAGAACGCAGGCTGTGATAAACCGTCGATCTCTTGATCAATACGTATTTACTTGCCTAACACTTCATCAGTATATCTCTCCCCAGTAGCTCAGCGGTAAGACTGAGGGCTTATAACGCTAAATTTGGGTTTCGATACTCGTGGTGGGCACAACACAGATTGCCCATTGTGTAGCTTTGTATTAAACAAACAAAACAAATAATCAGTATATCAATATATGTAGATATATATGCACAAATATTACAAGAAAACTCAAATCACGCTTTTTCAATTTATTCCTGACATAAGTTTAAAGTATAACATACATACAAATTAGTACCACTGCGCTTTCTGTGGGAACATTACCGGTTAACAGACAGCAAAATAGAATGTCAAAAAACATTCTATGCGAACATTTCCAATTAGTAGACATCAAGCTAGAACCAAAACATTCCGTGGAAATATTTGCAGTTAGCAGGGAGCAAACTAGTATAAAAGGACATGCTGTGGAAAATTTTCCAGTTAACAAGCATTAAGTAGTGCCATAAAATATTCCATGGGAATATCTGCAGTTAGCAAGCAGAAAATTGGTGCCTAAATACATTCCATGGGAACATTTCCAGTTAATAAACAGAAAACTAGTACCAAATCACATTCCGTGGGAACATTTACAGTTAACAAGAAGCAAACTAGTATCAACTCGCATTCCATGGGAACATTTGCAGTTAACAAGTAGCAAACTAGTACCAAATTATATTCCATGGGAATATTTCCAGTCACCAAGCAACAAGCTAGTGCTTGGTGGGATCACGAACAATTAACAAGTAGCAAACTAGTACCAAATCATATTCCATGGGAATATTTCCAGTCACCAAGCAACAAGCTAGTGCTTGGTGGGATGACGAACAATTAACAAGTAGCAAACTAGTACCAAATCATATTCCATGGGAATATTTTCAGTCACCAAGCAACAAGCTAGTGGTTGGTGGGATCACGAACAGTTAACAAGTAGCAAACTGGTGCTAAAATATTTAATAGAGACATTTTCAAGTAACAAACATCAAGGTATAGAACGCCCTCTAGTGTTTAAGCGTTAAGTATGAGAGCTTATAACGCTAAACATTGGATTTCGATACCCGCGATGGGCAAAGCACAGATATCCTATTATGTAATTTTGCGCTTAGTAACAAATAGATAAAACCCCTTTTAATCACATTAAATTATTGAAATAAAAGATAATTTTATAAATAAACAATTTCAAGAAGAAAACAAAGAAAAACTGCATAAATTCTTATTTATTAAACATAATAAGAAAGCTTGTAATTACATTTTACTAAATTTTTATAAGCCAAAGTTTTACATGGAATGAGCTAATGAATTAAAACGGTGGCGATGAGATATAAAAATATGTTAGATAGATGATAAAATTAAAATAGAAAATATGTCAAATAGAAGAAAAACGTGTGTGCGTTGAAAACGATCCCGCTGCTGGAGATTGAATACAACACCGGTCTGTCCACCACTTTGCCTGTCCGTGAGATTACACGAAAACAAACAAACAGAAATTGACAGAATATTCATATGTAAGTCGTTTGTTTGAAGTTAAACACAAAGCTACACAATGGGCTATCTGTCCACTGCCCACCACGGGTATCGTTACCCGATTTCTAGCGTTGTAAGTCTGCAGACATACCTCTGTGCCATTGGGGGAAGGCAGGTAAGTCGTACTAGTTTTTGTTGTGTTTACATTTAGTGTCCACGACAGTTTAAATAGGAAGCGAGCTCGTCCCTAGTATCGAAAAGGTTGAGAAACGGCGATATTGAAGACACCGGAGACCTTAGAGACTCTAGAACAAATTTGAAGAGTCCCCAGGCACTCTAACGCAACCAATATTTACTTAAAACTTTAACACAGTTCATAGCTTCAAGATAATAATTACTTTTATGAAGCTTTATCTTAATTACCATTTAAATGAACTTTATTCCCACAC